CCCCATATGCCCATTAATACTTGTCTAAGTTTGGGTTTCCTCAGAAGCAGATCCTGAGACAGGGGTTTAAATGCAAGTAGTTTATCTTGGAGGTGATGCCAGGGAACACCGTTGGGGGAGCATGGAAGTGAGATGGGAAAGAGAAGGGAGCCGTAAAGTGAACAATCATAAGCAAGATGCCACAATGGCCAAACGAGCTTAGTCCTGCTCCAGAGCTCCAGGGAAGAGTCTAAAACAGCCTGTAGAGTTACCCCAGGGAAAGGGCAAATGGGCTGGGGTTTTTATGCACAGTTCCTGAGAGTCATTGTTTGAGGGCTCCTCCCAGACACCATTAATTCCTCAGCACTTCCAGCCTGCCAGGAACTTAGGTAAAAGAGCCCCTGATGACAGTTCCTGGCAGTGAAAAGATGGGCCAGAATGCACTGAAATGGTTAAGGGCCAAAAGAACACAGGTGGGGCCTGAGAAGCATCTGCTATATTTCTAATTAGTTGTCTTTTTTGGTCACAGATTCATACACCCAACTGCCTGGTTGGATCTCTATTGTAGGACCTGTCCATGGGGTCCTATAATTCACCTGCAGTGCAGGTTAGCAATTCCTATGCTCTGACTGCAGAGACAGACACCACCATCCATCCTCTCAGCCTTCCAAATCACCTCCCTAGCAGTCAAGCGTGACTTGCCAATTGGTCACTGACCTAGTACTTTCCAACCTCCTACCTCTTACTCCACTGTCTTAGTTTAGGTTTTATTATTTTTCCTAAGCAATTGCAATAATCTCCTAGTTGGCATTCCTGTCTCTGTTCTGCTTACACCTTTACACCACGCTCTAAATCCTCCAAAATGCTCTTAAGAGCCTGTCCATTGCCTTAACTCAAGCTCCTGAGTCCTTATTAGGTGAGTGCTGAGCTCTGGTTCTGTCACAGTTTCCAGCTTCTTCTCAAAATACCTCCTGTGTCTACCCAAATGCACATATTCACAGTTCTCCGCACCAGACCAAGTCCGGTCTGTGCATATGTGTTTCCATGTGACACATCTGTCCTCCACTCAACTGCCTGGTTAACTCCTACCCATGCCAAATGTTGCTTTCATCTCATTACTTGCCAATTTACTTGCCATTTAGTTCCACACCTCCCCGGCAGACAGATACCTCTTGGTCTACACTTCCGTAGCACTAACAATTACAGAGTAATGGTCCCATACCTATCTACTATGGAGTAAACCTATCCACAGGCACAGTGTAGGTTCTTTACCAGAAGATCAGAACATACCCGAAGTGATGCAAAAAGCAGAGACCCAATAGAAACACATACAATTGTTCATGATAATGGACAACGTTAGACATAAAGACCAAGGACCCTTTCTCAAGCAGTTCTTCTTCATTCAAAGAATCTGAGTAATGAACAGATTCAGCTCTAAGAATCCACTATTATGGCTCAGGTAAGGATTTTCATACCAACCTATAATAGATTAACCATAATCGTTATTATACAGATCAAAGAGAACTTCAGTGGACTGTCCAGTAATGCGTGTCTTTGATCAGCTTCCTATTAACACATTTAGCCTAATCTGATTAACACTCTGCCCTTCAGCCTTTCAAGATTCTTATGTCGCTACCTGAGCTCCGCCACCCCAGGATCTCAGCATCCCCGTGGAGGCCAGGATTCTGTTTCAAGGGTGACCTCTCCTACCTTCATCTATAGCCCACAGAGGACTGCCACTAGAGTATGTTTCAAAAGTGCTAATGCTATGTCCCCATGTATTCCTTAATGCTATGACAAAGGGCCTGTCCTCTGGGTCTTCACAGAGGAAAATGGTTTTGGGAAGTGAGAGAAGTTCACACATGATAAACTCATTCCTATATCCCAATTCTCTAAGTTATTAAATTTTTCTCTATATAATATCAAGGAATTTCTTATCTCTCTACTTCATTTTAGTGTATGCCTGATGGAACTGTTAAACACTCTCAGGTACTCTAGCCAGCACATTAAATCTAAAATCTCTAGTAAAAGAACCCATATCAGAAAATTCAGCCTGATCTGAAGCCATACACCTCACTCCCTGGGCTCACACCTCAGAATCCATTCTCACATATATTCTCCCAAATCTATTGTTGAATCAGTTAGAAAAATTTTTGCAATTTTTATTTTAGTTTTTCAATTTCATTCTTCCAGACTCAACTCCGCAATTGGTTCCCTGGGACACGCCAGCATGTGCCTCTAGTTACCTAAGGGCAATCAGGAAAATTGGTACCCCCTGGTAAGATAACCATTTCTGATGAGGTCATCCCCGGGTCTTCAAGCAAGGCAGAAATAGCTTCATCTCACAGGAGTTGCTTCTACTAATAAGAAAAACTAAGTGAGGTTTGGGACTTTGATATTCTTAAAGTTGTCTAAATCCTCCCAGAAGTTCAAGGCTCTTCTATTTTGTAATGAATAACTTTATATCTTTATGTGTATATAAGAGACCTGGCAAGGGTATGAATTTCACCTGCAGTGCAGGTTAGCCATTTGCAGGATTAAACCTGTGTCTGCTTTTCAGCTATGTGAGTCCTTTGACAAGAGGTAAGGAATGCCTTTCGATCATTCATAGAAACTCTCCAGAATATGCCTTGAGATGTGAATTTAAAATCTTGAGCTATTATTTTGTTTCTATAAGCCATCCAGCAAAATGAGAAAGAACCAGCCTAGCCTACAGGGTATCACTATACCTAGGATGACCATATATAGCCCAGTTTTCCTGGCACCTTCCTGGTTTAGTATTATTATTATCTTGGAATTATTCATGATACTCCCTTTCATTTGCAACCATATCCCAGTTAGAACAATAAACTATGTTTGCCCTTCATGTACCTATAACTATCAGCTATTTATACTACCATTGGCCTCTCAAGGAACCACAATGAAAATTTGTTCCTGCATGGCATGGATTATCAGCTGACCTTCTTTATCGCTAACGGAGTTTCCATTGGTTTTAAGCTGAATAGAGTCAGAAGATCAGCCCCAGATTCCTGTCTTCTTGAGAGTCTATTCCCTGCAGTCATCTTGGTACTAACAACTGCATAAATCAGAAGTCTTAATTGCAGCCTACAGAGTCAGCAGTTTATTAAAACAGAATGGAATTTACTATAAAGTATTGGGATCTTACAAAATTCTGATGTAATACCCAAGCCCCCAGCCCTTGACCCACTCCCCAGTGGGGAACAGGCCCTCTACCCTTGAAAAGGAAACCTCTCCTCAGCCTTTTAGTCCCAGCCCCTCAAGGGTAAAGAAGCAGCCTGAGATTAAGGAAGTATGCAGGGACGGGTTGAGCGAAGGGAGGGGTTGAGCCCCTGACGGAAAGATCCCAAGTTATTCTCGGAAATTTACCCAACACTTGTTTTCTATCCCTGAACCATGTAACCCTCATCTTATGATCATGAAGTAACGTACTTGTGATGTATTTTGTGATTATGAGCCAATATGTACCCCCACCCTAAGTTGTATAAATGATGTACCTTTACCTTGTGACCCTGAGCTATATTGAGTTGTGCTAACCACTATGACTGGCTTCTGTATTGCGCTAGCTTGCTGACCAGCCATGACTTTGCAGGCTCCCCTGCTATTCCAGGCTGCTTGTTGGCCCACCACAAAAGCTCCCTGTGGGTACACCTGCAGGTGTATCAAATTATCAATAAATTTCTATCATTTAATTACATCTGAAGTGGGGTCCATCCTTCTCTCACATCTACTGGCACATTTCACTGAGAGAGGTGGAACCACACCCATTTTTACAGCCAGGAAAAATGAGACCAAAGGAATGCCCAACAAGAGATAGTCCTATCTGAAAACTTACTGTCCTTCTCATCCACTGCTTGCCACCTAAGACAGAACTGGACAGTAGACCCATCACGACAGCAGCCAGAAGATTCGTTTCTCTGTGTGTGGCCACCCACCCCACATTGTCCCCACCTGCATTCTATGTTTTGTGTAGGAGTATCTTCTTAGTAGCATCTAGGCCATGCACAGAACCCTAGTTAGGAAGATGCAGTTATATTTAAATTCCCTTTAACATGGAAGGCATTTTGGAAAAGCTTTAGTGAGGAAGAGAAGCGGATCATTCTTCAATATCTGCCAAAAACTAAAAAGGATCTTGGGGAATGCATGTGAGAGAAAGTGGTAGTAAGAACTTCAGGGGTGACTCCAGAATTCCTATTCAGGAAGGATGTAGGGAACATCATCTCACTGGAAGGGCTGGGTGGGGGGAGGATTCTCTTGAAGCTGTGCTTTTACCTGGTCCAGATTATTGCAAGTGTACGTAGGAAAGGTCGTGGAGCTCTAAACCAGACAAATGTGCCAAACAGGATGGCCCTTGAATTAGGTGTCCTGCCCTATTGGCAGGAGTTCTCCTTAAACAGTTCTGTGAGAGGGAGAGAAGACTATTTTTTAAAAACAAATTGGGACATAATTTCTGAAAACTCCAAATTATATTACAAAATAGTTTATATTCTAAACTTCCAGATAACCTTGGGTTTATTATTTCTTTTCTTTTCTTTCTTTTTCTTTTTTGGAGACAGAGTCTATGTCCCACTTCAGATCTGTGGCGTCACAGCTCACAGCAACCTCCAACTCTTGGGCTTAAGCAATTCTCTTGCCTCAGCCTCCCAAGTCGCTGGGACTACAGGTGCCTGCCACAACCCCTGGCTATTGTTTGTTGTTGTTGCAGTTGTCATTGTTGTTCGGCAGGCTGTGGCTGGGTTGGAACCCACCGGCCTTAGCGTACATGGCCGGCGCCCTGGTTGCTGAGCTGCGGGGAACGAGCTTTTGGGTTTATTATAAACCGGCCCAGGCAAAGAGGAGCAAATGTGCTTTTTCACTTCTCCACATTCCATCTCTCTCTCTGCCCTTTTGCATTCAGTTTAGTTGGGGACAAACCATATTAACTATCTCTGTGGGTAGTGGCTTTGCTTTGCCCCAAATCTAAGTAATCCTGTGGATGCTTTGAAAACAATTCGTTACATATCTGCTTTTAAAAAGTCCAACTATGTGGCGGAAACCTTTAATTCACAAGTCAAACAGCACAGAACAGAAGCAACTCCTGGGCAGAGGGCGTCGCCACTACGCGTAGATTTTGCTGCCCAGCGGGCCGGCCAGCTCGACGCCCTGGGCCCGGCCGCCCCGCAGCAGCTCCTTCTCCGCGGCCCGAGCCCTGGGCGGCGGGAGGCGCTCGGGCGAGCCCATGGCCTCGTAGCGGCGGTCCAGGTCGCGCAGGTAGAGCAGCACGTGCAGGGCGTAGGCCAGCACCAGCAGCAGGATCAGCGAGGTGACCAGCCCCAGCACAATGGCCGGGGAGAAGGCGGGGGCGCAGTCGCGGGCCCTGGCGAACCGGCCCCCGTGGATGGCGAAGCCTTGGATCTGCGGAAGAAGAAAGGCGGGAGCTGAGGGACACGGTCCCCCCCTCCCGGGATCGGCTTCCCGCGGCGCTGGCAGGGCTGGGCCCCTTGTTAGCCAGACTAACGTACTGTCACCATCTTCACTGAATCGTTTAAAAACATGATCCGACAAATGTGACTGTGCTTCTGGGGACAGTGAAACTTAATCGTAAGTCGGAACTGATCCAGAAACTCGGGGATGTTGTCATCATTAAGAGTCTCGTGAAATTCAAGGCTCTGAAATAAAACCTCGTTTCATCTGATGCTCAGAAATATTCTCGTTCTTGTGAAACCACAACGGCTGCAGTGCCTCTAAAATTCAAAGCACACTCAACGTTTTATAAGTGTTGGTGTAAGTTTCACAAAGGTTTTAAGTCTCAGTTCTTCTGCTTTTGATTCTACTGACAGAAATTAGCCTGGAAACATCTTTCAAGCGAGGATATCACAATCTCCAATGAGGTAAAATATAAATAAAATAAAAGCCAACACTTAACACATATTAAGGCAGTATCAGACCCCGCCTTAATTCATTTAGTATGTACAAGAGCCTATAAGTAAGTGGCTATTTATCTTTATTATGGACAAGGAAACTGAGGCACAGAAAAATGAAGCAACTTGCCCAGAGTTGCACCACAGCAGGTTTGGTGAAGATCAGTCCAAACTGGCAGTCTGGCCTCAGGCTCAGGCTCAGCTCTGACTCCACAGCTCCTGCTGTGTTCTGTCCCTTGTTCCCCCCAACCCTGCCTCCCCATCTTCACTGACTTTGCCATACAGACTTGGCACCATTTTGGAAGCACTGTACAAAAGCCCCTCCTTGTGTCCTGCCCAGAGAATAGAAAGAAAAGCTTTCTCATGTGCAAATGAAATGGTCTTATTACTTGAAACTAGGAGAGAGTCAAATTGACAACTAACCCTTTTTTCTAATGCTGGCAATTGAAACAGGAATACGGAGGAATTACTTTAAAACGAGAGTCATGATTGGGGGAGGGCAGCCCCCTGTTTAGCTGGCTTTAAAAGTATAACACCCTACCCAGCATCACCTCATTCACTCACTTCCTTTTTAAAGAGGACATCAGAAAATTGAATTATCCACAGTGCTTTACTGAAAATTCACTGTGGTGCCCTGAGTGAGCATTTTAACATTTTCTTGTGGCTACACGCCCTGCCTCAGACGTTACGGGCCTTGCTCACCCAATTGTCTGTGCTCTAGATTGTACCCAAAGCAGCTGCCAAAGGGACTCTTATTCTGGCTCCTGGGATCCTTGGCCTGCCTTTCCTATGAGGAGGTAGAGTGGCCTCCTCATCAGACTAGTACCTAGGAGACAAATTCCTCCATGACAAAAGATGACCTCCTTCAGTTCTGCAACTCCAGCCAAGGAGAATGTCCTCAGATCGACTGCCACTTAATTCTTAGTAACTCCAGGTGGAGAACAGTAAGTGTAAAGAATGCCTGAAGGATATACTGAACATCCATGCCCTGGACTAGAGGTTACAAACATGTTGTGTCTTATTATGTGCAGTATACATAAGTATCCTTGGAACCACAGGTGAATTTTGTTTGGTCCAGTGTCTTGAATTTCCTGAACATTTCCTTTAAGAACCCAAATTTCTAGTCTCTACTGAAAAGCCAGAAGATCTAGTACTACTGGCCCTGTATTTCTATTAAGCAAAAATGAACAAAGTTAATTTAAAAAAAAAAAAATCTTAAACTGGATAGCCACATGCAGAAGAAGAAATGGGATCCTTATTTCTCACCATATACAAAAATCAACTCAAGATGGATTAAAGACTTAAATGGAAGACATGGCACCATAAAAATAATAAGAGAAAACTAATGTAGGAAAAATTCTTCTGGACGTTGGCCTAGACAACAAATTCATGACTAAGATCCCAAAAGCAAATGCAGCAAAAACAAAAATAAATAAACAGGACTTAATTAAACTAAAAAGCTTCTGCACAGCAACAGAAACAATCAACAGAGTAAACAGGCAATCTACAGAATGGGAAAGAAATATTTCCAAACTATACATCTGACAAAGGACTAATATTCCAAATCTACAAGGAACTCAAACAAATCAAGAGAAAACAAAACACTATTTACAAGTGGCCAAAAGACATGAACAGACATTTTTCAAAAGATACAAAAGGCCCACAAACATGAAAAAAATGTTCTGTATCACTAATCATGAGGGAAATCCAAAGTAAAACCACAGTGAGGTTACCCCAGTCAAAATAGCCATCATTAAAAGGTCAAAAACAGTATGTGATGGCACAGATGCAGTGAAAAGGAAATGCTTATACCCAGATTATTATTGGCAGCAATGTAGATTAGCACAATCTCTGTGGAAGACAGGGTGGTGATTTCTCAAAGAACTAAAAGTAGATCCACCATTAGATTCAGCATTTCCACTACTGGGTCTCTACCCAAAGAAAAGAAATCATAATACCAAAAAGATCCCTGCAATTATGTCATGGTATAATTCAAAATGGCAAAGACAACGAATCAACCTAAGTGTCCATCAATTGAGGAGTGAAAAAAGAAAATGTGGTACATATATACCATGAAGTACTTCTGGGCCATTAAAAAAAGAATGAAATGTTTTTTGCAACAATGTGGATGTAACTGGAGGCCCTTATCCTAAGTGAAGCAAGGCAAGAATGGAAAACCAAATACATCACATTCTCATTTAACAGTGGGAGCTAAGAAATGGATACAGGGACATGAAGAATGGTATCTTGGACATGGAAGACTCAGAAGAAAAACTGTCAGGTGCAATGAATACTATACAGTCATGAGCACTAAACCCAGACATCACCACTGTAAAATCCATCCACGTAAACAAAAACTTCTTATGCCTCTAAATCTACTGAAATTATAAAAATTCTTTCAAAGACATAAAAAAAAATTTTAATCAGTAAATCTAGGCCAAAAGTAGATAGGTGTTTATTCATTCCTGCAACTTTTCTGTAAGTTTACAATTTTTCAAAAATAGATCAAAGAAAAAAGTTTTTTGTGATGCCAGCTACACTTTGCCACAATCCCTAGCTGGCCACCCCATCATTTGCCCAAAGCATCTGGGTTTGCTATGCATGTGACATCACTCTATACTTTATTCCTGGAATAACCCAGACCAGCAAAGCTACATAAGTGGAAAGCAGCCCTCTGTACACTTAGCTCATCCAGCATTGCCACCTCCTCTTCTCCCCTGGACCGACAGTGCCTTCTGCCATCTGTTTCCATGAAGAATGTTTTAACAAGGCCTACCTACCTCTGACACCCAAAGCTGCGTCACTGTAAGGGTGCTGCTGAGGATGTACGCATTACACAGCACAAAGTATGAATTTATGCATCATGAGCAAACTTTCAGCTGTCTTAGTGACGCTGTGAACATGTAACTGGGCATTTCTTTCTTATGCTGGCTGCTCTCGAAGTTTTGGGGCCAAATTACTGTGCCACTTCCAACCAGTGCAGACCTTGTGGTTTTGTGTCCCAGCCTCACTCATGGCTCTAATTGATCTTTTCTTTCTTTGTTTTTCTTCACTGTCATGCCTTTGTCCACGATTTTAATTTATTTTTTAACTGTAAAATATACATAACAAACTTTACCATCTTAACTATCTTAGGTGCACAATCCAGTGTTATTGAGCACATTCACATTGTCATACACGCCTCACCACTGTCCTCTCCAGAACACTTTTCAACTTATAAACTGAAACTCTTGTGTCCACTAAATACTAACTCTCCATTCCCCGCTCACTTCAGCCTTTAGCAACTACTCCTCTACTTTTGGCCTCTGTGAATTTGACTATCTAGGTACCTCATGTAAGTGGAATCGTACAATATTTCCCCCTTTGTACCTTGCTTATTTCACTTAGCATAACATCTTCAAGGCTTCTTCATGTTGCAGCATGTATCTAAATTTCCTTCATTTTTAAGGCTGAATAATATTCCATTGTATGCGTATGCTAGATTTTGTTGCTCTGTCCACCCAGTGATGAACATTTGGGTTGTTTTCACCTTTTGGCTGTTGTGAATAATGCTGCTGTGAACATGGATATTCAAGTATCTGTTTGAGTCCCTGCTTTCCATTCTCTGGGCCACATACCTAGAAGTGGAATTGCTGGATCACTTGATAATTTTTTGCTTAATTTTGGGAGAACCACAATACTTTTTTTCTTCCAATGCATTTGCACATTTGCACATTTTACAACTCCCACTGGAAATGCACAAAGGTTCCAATTTCTCCACATCCTTGTCAAAACTTGTTATTTTCTGTTTGTTATTGTTTTTAATTTTAGAGACAGGATCTTGCTCTGCTGTTCAGGCTGGAGTACAGTGGTGTAATCACAGCTCACTGCAACTTCAAATTCAAGGGCTCCTATCTCAGTCTCCTGAGTAGCTAAGACTACAGGTGTGCATCAGGACACCTGACTAATTTTTTTAATTTGTATTTATTTATTTATTTGTGGATACAATGTCTCACTATGTTGCTTAGGCTGCTCTCAAACTCCCAGCCACAAGCAGTCTTTATGTCTTGGCCTCCCAAAGCATTGAGATTACAGGTGTGAGCCACCATGCCCAAGGTGGTTGTTGTTTATAATAGCCATTCTAACAGGTTTGAAGTGGTTTGCTTGTTGTTCCAAGTTATTTTCTTGTAGTATTTCTGTAAGTCATTTCTGGAACAAGGTAGATATATCAATTAATCAAGTCCCCTGTTCTCATTAGGCAAGATTGTATGTAAATTATTTCTTATTTTCATTATTACCTCGTCTCCCTTTTCTGGTTGGACTCTTTTTCTAAAGGGAAAGGTATGTATAGACATACAGAGACACATATAATATATAACATATATAAACATTTATATATAGAGATGTGTATGTATATGTGTATATATGTATCTCTATATATGAATATCCTTGGAGCTAAACCATCTAGAATTGAAGTTCTGCCTCTACCATTTACCAGTTATATCACTTTGAAAAAATATATAATTATCAGAGCTTCAATCACTGCATTTGTAAAATAAGGATAGTAACAGTTATCTTATAGCATTCTGATGTGTTTTGAAGATTAAATATGTAAAATAACTACAACAGTGCCAGCACGTGGCCAGAATGTGTACGTCATGGTTGTTACACATGTGACATGATCCGGTGTTTCTGTATATATCAGGCTATGTATTCTTTACATTCTTAAAGGTAGGTCAGAAATTGAGAGAAGCTAAGAAACTTGCCCCGGTGTCTAAGAAGTAATTTGAAACCAGGTTTGTCTGACTCCAAGATGCAAACTCCTCCCCACCCAAACTGCCCCCCACATACTTCACTAAATATGTGAACTCCGGGTATAAGGAAAAGACTGTAAAGTGCCCAAGAAAGGATCACACTAGCCCTGCCGGCTCCTTCAGTGAGTTAGAACAAGCTAAGCTTTTCCCAGGTAAATAGGATAGAGCAACTGGGCAGCACGTCTCTCAGCCTGAGATTCTAGTGGTGAAAAGGAACCTCTCCCATCCCCAGGCCTTTCCCTAAATGCTGTCAAGAGGATCTTCGGGATATTTTTGACTCTGTGGCTGACGGTTCCAGTCCTAAGATGGTGCCAAAGCTGTCACTCACACTAGGAATGTACTTCTTATCTGCCCTGATAGGATCAGTGTTCCATATCCTGAAGGAAATAAAATAATTGTCTGACAACGCCTCTCCCCTGAAAGGCCTCTCTGTCCAGGAAGTGTCATTCACCGGGTTTCACCCAGAGTCACCAGGGCTTAGGTGGCGGGCATTCCTCACTGATAATTACTAGTGACTGGATAAACCTGAAAGTAAAAGCAAGCATGGAGGGACGTGGGGCCACGGGGAGAGAAAATTCTCTCTCCAATTCCATTTCATGCCATTGAAGGTAAAGGAAAGAGAATGTCATTATTATTTTAAAGGTATCCACTTCTCTTTCCCTGGAACATCAATTATTTGTTTCTGGTGTTTTGAAACAAAAATTGCGTTTCTTTGGCACCAAATACGCAGGAGCTTTGGGCCTGTGTTTCAGCTTATTACCTGGAAATCAACGAAAGTGACCTCCCACAGGCTGGTCGCGGCGTCCGGGTGGCTGGGCAGCAGGAGGGCGCCGGAGCGCTGCAGGCTGCTGACGCGCTGGCAGCGGTAGGAATACCGCCAAGGGGCGTGGATGCCGGTGGCGTTGAAGACCGCTTGGACTGAATTGTTGAAGATAATCTCGACGCGATGCAAGCTAAACCAGCTCTGGACGGACAACTTGTTGTAATTCGTAAGGATGAACCTGAAAGTGGTGATAAAACACCATTACCCCCAAAGCACTTTTGCATTTACTGACTCGGGACATCGTCTATGAACAGTGCGATGGCGCCCTCTATTGTCCGGTGACAGAACTGGCTTGGGGAGAGGCTCCGCTTTGGTTCCAGGGGACAGCCCTCTGGGTGAGGCAAAGGACAGAGCAGCCCCCAAAGTGAGCAATACAAATTTCTAGAAAGGGAAAAACACAGGACGCTTGGGTTTATTTTTTTTTCCTTTCTTAGAATCAGCATTTTATTATATGTTTATCATTTCCAGAAAAAAATTGAAAAAAACTTCAATAAGACTGGGCACGGTGGCTGATGCCTGTAATCCTAGCACTCAGGGAGGCTGACGTGGCTGGATTGCTTGAGCTCAGACCCGAGCAAGAGCGAAACCCCATCTCTACTAAAAGTAGAAAAATTAGCAGGGCACATGGTGGCACCTATAGTCCCAGTTACGCGGAGGCTGAAGCAGGAGGATCCCTTGAGCTGAAGTTCAAGGTTGCTGTGAGCTATGATGCCAGAGCACTGTAGTCTGGGGCAACAAAGTGAGACTGTCTCCAAAAAAAAAAAAAAAACCTACTCAAATAGATATCAATAAAGAACTAGCTAAATTGTGGCTAAAAATAATTTTTCTACTATGTGTCAGTCATCCTTCTGTGTTATTTGTGTGAATTTTGTTTAATCATCACTTCAACACCTTAAGATAGACAGTGTCATTATCCTCATTTCACAGACACAAAGGGGTTAAATAACTGTGCAGAGAGTAAGTGCTGGAACTGGGCTTCTATCCAACCTGACACCAGAGCCCTGACTCTCAACCATTTTGGAGTGGCATGTTCTCTAGCCATGAAAAAGTTAGAATGTACTCCTGTCACGATCATTTTACTGTCTTTAGAAAAATGTGTGACTGCACGGGAAAAAAGTCTGGAAAGATAGAGATTAAAACGCTGATAGTGGTTACAAATAATACTTGGATTATTGGTGATTTTCATTTTCTTCTTTTTATAGCTCAATATTTTCTGATTTTTCTTTTCAATGGTTTGTCCTGTTTTCATTTGCACGCCTGTGGAAGCAGACCCTGAGACAAGGATGTGAATACAAGAAGTCTTGGGGAGAATTTAGTCAATCAAAATATGTAGAGTAGAAAGAAGAGAAATGACAGGAGGGGGAAGCAGCCAGAAACCACAGAGGTTTAAGCAAGTGAGGGAGCCAGAGAAGGGCAGAGCGTGGGTCTCTGAGTTATCACAGCTGAGGGGAGGGAACTGAGGTATTTATACATTTTTTTTCAGTCATTGCTGAGGGTCTCCTGGCCTAGCGATGGGAGGCAGTGGGCCCCGTTAGCCAGAGACAGCTTTTAGGCAAAGGGAGGCTAGCCGTTGGCAAGTTAAGCAGTGGGCTCTAGTGCCCTCAAATGGAAAGGGCCAAGTGGATACAGATGGGGCGGCGACAGTTTCTGCTGCATACCTTAAGCATCAGAAAAAATAATCATAATAATAGAGCTATTTTCCATTTGGCAAAAAGTGCTATTACGGATCAGAAATAGTCCCCATTTCTCTATCAGATATGTATATGTGCTTGGTCACCTTGTGGGATTCTATTTACTTAGAAAGTTTCTCGGAAAGGGGATGGTCTGTATTTTCTGATTTGATCAAACCCTAGTGTTCTGTGATATGTAGACAAGTGTTCTGAGGGAGAAAACTTTCCAGGGTTAAACGTGGAGACACTAAGTTAAGTTACTAAGAGCAACAGATTTCCTTAAGAACATGTCTTCTTAGAACATTTAGGGTACAGGTTTATCCTGTGAGTATCCAAGAGGAAGAGGTGTTTTGTAGTCATTCCCAAAGTCCTAAACACACTTGATCACAGACTCTCTTCGTTATCGGATCTTAGAAACATTTTCACAGAGCAGAAGTTTTCCATGGAGCGTGGCTTGGGGAGACTACACTGAAACATCCTGCATGTTTTCCAAGTAATGTGGAAGGCACAACTATTTATCACCACTAAAGGGTTTGTCCTATAGAAAGATACACACTCTATTTTTATAAAAGAAAAAAATTAATGGTTTCAAATTGCTCCCCACCCAGGAGAAGTTCCTAACTGCTTGGATAAAACTACTGCTGGTAGTTGCATCCTTTCAAAACACATGCCTGAAAAGCTGCTGTGTTGATTGTCTGCAGGGGAAATCAGATAACAGAGGCTTTTTCTTGGTAATTACATGGTAAGTATGATTCATTGTGAGGAGCCGTAGAAAATAATATCCAACCAGAGCCCCAGCCCTTGGCATTTCATTTAGATTTTATTGTTTGCACAGAGGAAAAGGATATCCCATTTTCAGGTTGGTGAGTTTTCTGAGTCCCTAATTGAGGAGAAGAGAATAGTTTGGAAGAAACTGAAGAGAGCATTGATAGAGGTTCCCATCATACCACACCACTGCCTTTTCAGTGTCCTTAGGTGGCTCTGGCATTTGAGGTGTGACAAGGCTTAGGCACACAGCAAGCCCTTGATAACACCTGGGGAATGAATGAACTGTAGAAAGCTAACTTAAAGTGCTGAATCTATGAGACTCCACAGTGACATTCTACCTACCTTAAGTCAAGACCTTTGGGATTTTCAGCATCACCAAACTTCAGAGACAACCTAAAAAAAAAAAAAAAAAAAACAGAAACAAAGTCTATGAAAATAGGAATGACTCATACTTCACATTATACTCAAAAATTACCTCAAAATGGACCTGAATATAACACCTAGAACAAACTGCAACTGTATAGAAGAAACTTAAGGTAGGCAATGGGTTCTTGAACAAAATACAAAAGCATGAACCATAAAAGAAAAAAATTGATAAATTGGACTTCATTAAAATCTAAAACTTTTACTCTTCAGAAGACACTGTTAAGAAAACAAAAAATGGTCAGTGCAATGGCTTACGCCTATGCCTATAATTACAGCATTTCGGGAGGCCAAGGGCAAGATTGCAGTGAGCTGTGGTCTGTCAACACTGAACTGCAGCCTTGGTCACAGAGCAAGACATTGTCTCTTTAAATAGAAAAAAGAAAACAAAAAAGGCAAGCCACAAAACAGTAGAAAATATTCACACAGCATATACATAAAGGACTTTATCCAGAATATAAGTAATACAACTCAATAAGAAGACAATCAAACTTCAAAATAGTCAGAAGTGACTGGGTACAGTGGCTCATGCCTGTAATCCTAGCACTTTAGGAGGCCAAGTCAGGAGGAAAGAGGATCACTTGAGGCCAGGAGTTCGACACTGGCTTGGGCAGCCTACTAAGAACTCATCTCTACAAAAATATATTTTTTTAAATTAAAAACAAAAACAAACAAACAAACAAAAAACTAACTGGCCATAGTGGCACATGCCTTTTAGTGTCAGATCTTCAGGAGTCTGAGGCAGGAGGATCACTTGATCCTAGGGCTTTAAAGTTGCAGTGAGCTATGATGACACCACTGTACTCTAGCCTGAAGTGAGAGAGTGAGAAAAGGAAGGTGTATATACAAACAGCCAATAAGTACACGAAAAGATGTTCAGCATCATTAAAAATTGGGAAAAGTAAAAGAAAACCACAATAAGATAGCACAGTACAATAATCAAAATGGTGAAAATATTTTTAGCGGACTCTTAAGCTTTTTTTTTTTTTTTGAGACGGAGCCTCAAGCTATTCCCCCTGGGTAGAGTGCCATGGCATCATGCTCACAGCAACCTCCAACTCCTGGGCTCAAGCGAGTCTCCTGCCTCAGCCTCCCAAGTAGCTGGGACTACAGGTGCCTGCCACAATGCCTGGCCATTTTTTGGTTGCAGCCATCATTGTTGTTTGGTGGGCCCGGGCTGGGGATTCGAACCTGCCACCTTAGGTGTATGTGGCTGGCGCCTTAGCCGCTTGAGCCACAGGCGCCGAGCCAACTCTTAAGCTTTTAATACCTACATTTATTCATATTTTCCTGAGAGTAAACACAAGATTTCCTGGAGCAAAGATAATTATTATTTACTCATGGGAATAACCTTGTAGGTTTCCCTTTTCACCCAATTCTTCTCCCTAGGCAACATGGTAAGAGCCAAATGTCATTCTACCCATACTGTGATTTGTAATACAGATGAGGAACACCAAAATTATGAATCTGGGAGTTTATTTGGGGAGAGACAGTGGTTCCCTCCTCACCTCCAGAGAACAGGAGAGAAACATTTGCTGCCTTAATGTCAATAAATTGTCCTTGGGAAGAGAAGAGGGACAATCTCCAGCATATAAGCAGAAAAGTTTAATTAGCCTTTGAATTGGAGCAAACAGCCACCATAAAGGACACAAATGGCTGAAGGTTCTAATATCTATGGTATGTAAATAAATGTCTTTAAGGAGAAGATAAGACCCACTCTGAGTTTCTAACCCCTGGAATGTCTCTATGATCCCAAGTTTCATTATCCCTTAACATAGAAACTCACTTCTCCAAAGAGATAAATCTCTCACTAACTCCAAGGCTTAGCTTATAATCCAGGTGCAAGTAAAATTTATTCAGAAATGCCTAAGCATAAAAATGTTTTCTCTACAGTCTCACTTCTGCAATACAAAGCATTAGTGAGGATTTGAAGCAACTGGAACTCTCATACAATGCTGGTGGGAAAGGAAAATGCTGCAACCACTTGAAAAAACAATTTGGCAGTTTCTTAAAAAGTTAAACATACACATACCATCTGATCTAGACTTTCTACTCCCAAATGGAATAACACCTAATATATATGAAATTACCTACTGCCACAAAGACTTGCGCATGAACATTCATATTGACTTTACTTAGAAACTTACACAAAAATTTAGAGGAAACACAAATTTCCATCCACAAGTGAATGGAGAAATAAGTTGTGGTATACCCATGCAATGGAATACTACTCACCAGTGAAAAGGAACATACCACTGATACAGGCAATAACATGGAAGCCTATCAAAATCATTATGCTAATTGAAAGAAACCAGACTAAAAACTAATGCACACTATGTGGTTATATTTATAGACAATTCTAGAACATGCAAACTATAATGATAGAAAGTAGATCAGTGGTTATATGGAAAGGTGGGAGTAGCTAGAGGAATAGAATACAAAGTTGCACAAGGAAACTTTGTTGCATGATAAAAATGTTATCTTGATTGTGAGTGATTATTTCATTGGCATACACATATGTCAAAACTGGTCAAATTATATGCTTTAAATACATGCAGTTTACCGTACTTCATCCCTATTTAAATAAAAATGAAAAATAGGAATGATAAGAGGCTAAATAATCGAAATAAGAAAATGTGAGAAATTTAAATACACAGAAGATGATGCTACTGTGCCATCATCATGTCTAGAAGTTACAACACCTTGATAAACACCTTAAAATGAAAGAAAACAAAAGTAGGTATTTATAAAATGTCCAGTTACAAGGTTGAAAAATACTAATATCATATGTACATAATTTTATTAATTTGGTCACACTTAATCAAGAAATAGAAATATCAATAATTGGGCTATAATTTATCCCCATACTATTCATAGGGAATGGAGTGATCATTGCAAAATAACCTTACAAATAAGATTGCTAAGAAAAATATTTTTATTTCCTAATATCATAAACTTAGAAAGCTTAGAAGCACTCATTTACAAAAAACTGGAGTGTTCTATAAATAAGATCGTTTACTCAACAAGGTAAGTCTTCTTCCTGAACCATAATGTGGTAGTCTGCTACAAATTACTGAAAATACTTTAAAGAAATAAGTACTTAAAAAATACATTTCTCAAATACTATTTTATAAATCTGACTTATCAGTTATTCTAACAGAAACATCCCTAGTTTTTCCGAGGAATCAGAACAGCCTGGTTACCCATAAATTGGCTGTACAGGTAATAAACTAAACCTTGAAGTGGAGCCACCTTGACCCCAGCTAGTTTCTACCTCTTCTCCCAATGGAGCAGCCCGATGGCCTCAGTGTTTCTGACCCTCAAAGAGCTTTTCTCCATTGGTCTTGGTTTCAGTAGAAGCTTGTTGATATGTTCTGCTTGAGAGTAAAGAACATGAGGCCTGATTTCATCAAAGTAACCATAGCAGTCATTCAGTGCCGATCTTTCAAGTGCCAGGCACTGTACCATCAATTGGGAGCACTTTGGAGAAACAGAACCTACAGGAGCTCTCTTCACTCCATCAGGCACCCAACTCTCATGTGTAAATTTAGGTAATAATTCAAAATATACACAGGTCCTGGGATTATGCTCTATTAGCAAGACTTTCATAGCAAATCTGTGTGCCAACAATTTGCCCCTCCCCGTACATTTTCTTTCCAAGAGCTAAAACACGGTCATTTCTTTTTAACCTGTGCTCTTGATCTTATATGGTTATGCCTTAGCTTGGATTCCTTCCTTCGGTAATTCCCTTCCTAGTCCTTAAGAACACATGGCCAGCACAGCAAGGGTAGCTCACTAATCCGTGCTATTCACAGGAATCAAGGACACTAAGTCTCAGCACCTGCTTCTTGGATGCCTTACATTCCCATGAAGCCCCAGCTCCCTCTCTTGGTGGTGGTAATGGTGGTGAGGTCCATCCAGGACACCTGCCACTCACCACAGCAGGACTCCAGCCGGTGCACAGCCAGGGTTGGGACTCAAGTAGAATTCTAGGGCAGTGACCTGGTCCTGCCCAAATGTTAGTTTATGTAATTTGTACGCTGGGAAAATGGTAGCTTCCTGAGATAAGCAGACACCATTTCACTCTAGTTATCATTCATACATTAGCAAAGATAATTGGACAAGTTCTCAAGTGTGTACGCACGCATTTCCTCATTCAATTTTTACAACCCCAGATGACCAAGAGAGAGGAGGTAAAATGTCATTTTAAAAGATACCTTAGACCCCAGATCTAAACGCTGTATGAGTTTAGCAAGTCTCCTAAACCTCTCTGAGCCTTGACATCCTGGAACACCTAGAATAGAAAGGCTCACAGCCCCTGTGAGTCAGAGAGTTACTGTGAGGAATAACAGACATGAGGCCTGTGAAGACCTTGCACAGACAGAGCCTGGCCTATGGTCAACTCTCAAGGTCTGTTGAACAGACGCCACCATCTCCTCCCCACAGATGAGGATCCTACAGTGAACAGAC